CCGACCATAATCGCGCCCGATCATCGGATTTTTCAATGCGAACGTCGCTGACGTAGCGCATTATAGCTAATTATTCCTCATAATTGAAGTCGTCGTCCGCTACGGCCATTATAAAAAAAAAAAAAAGAAAAAAAAGAAAAAAGGAAAAAAAAAAAAGAAAAGGAAAAAAAATCACTAACTGTCTGCAGTTTCGCTTTCTCGATACGAAACTCTTATGTACCTTAGCCGTAACACTCGGTTTTACCATTGAAACGAATTTTCTAATAATCGTCTCGAGTCGTTTTCATTATCGTCATCATTCGAAACTTCCGCTTTGTAATAAACCTCTGTACAACGATTCTCTCTTCATATTTTCTTCGATGCGCGACGGGAGAGAACGTAAAATCTTTCGAAGCGAAGCTCTCTCCGCCTATGGACCGAACCTCTCCTCTTTTAACGCGATTTATACCCAATTGTGCCATATCTTCGAACGAAATGCAAGTGAGAGGAAGGAAATAGAAACAAAAAGATAAAAAAGAAAAAAAGAAAAAAAAGAAAAAAAGAAAAAAGAGAAAGAAAAACAAATTAAAGAAGAACATTCGAAAAAGAATTAACTCGCTTTCTCGTATGTACTTGTCACAGCCTTATAACGCACGAACCTAAAGTGTTATATACACAAACACACACACACACACACACATACACACACATCCACGTAATGAACGCATACACTCATAAACACCACATAAAGTCACATCACATGCGCTCATACTCACACATACACACACATACATGTTCTTCCGACGTTTCGTTATCGTTTCTTGAAATTATCGCGATCTCTGTCAGGAGAGCGTATAGTTTTTCGACTCTGCATTCCATCGTTTGCGATCTGATTGTGAATCGAAGGAAAGATGATAAGGAAAGAAATGAAAAAAAAACGTAAGAGAAAAATTAATATATATATATAGTATATATACATATATAAATATATATATATACATATATGAATATATAAGACACATATATTTCCGTTTGTAGTTGACTATTCAGATTCTAGCGATGTCGCGCGCTAAGATTTTTCAAACGATCTTTGTCTCTGTTTCTCTATCAAAGATGATCGATCGAATCGAATTATGCGAATAATAGTCACGAGTACGCAAAACCGTATTTAATTTTCAATTGAAAATTCTCCTTCGAGAAAGACGCAAGAGAGAGGAACACACGTGCGAATGCGAATCTGTATGATTAGTGGAAAAACTTGTAAATCGAAATACATTAACTAATACTGTAGTATATCTCTAACGTAAAGGAAAAGTCAAACACTAACATCCAATCTCAATATTCCAAGCATTCACTTCATTTACATGTACGTTGTTGTTAATGATATAAAAGGTATAATAAAATAACGCTTTACCGAGATTCAACCTTAATCTAAGGTACGCAACTTATTTCTAGAGAGAAAGAGAAATCAAGAGAGATAGAAAGTTTGTGCGTATATGTGCATGTGTGTGTGTGTGTGTATGTGTGTGTGTGAGTGAGAGAGAGAGAGAGAGAGAAGAATAGTGTACATAACTATAGACACTAACATAATGCTGTGAAAGTGTGAGTTCAAAAGAGAGAGAGACTTAGAATGTAGAAGTAGCGATAAACGTAGATGTTTATTATTAGTTCTGGACAAATTCCTCTAAGAACTGTAACAATAATAAAGAAATACAATAATGGCGCTTAATTTATGATGATCAACTGATGATGATAAATAAGATAGTGTATTAACGATAGTAGATAAAGAAGATTAGTTACGAGATGATACAAATTTGGAATTAAAAAGGTAAGATGATACTGTTAACTTTGTGATCATTTTTTAAAATTAAGATAAAGGATAAAAATAGCATAAAAAATAGAATGGAGGATTAAATAAATAAAAAGAAAAATTTATTCCTATCGTATGATATAATAAATTATAACAGATGGCGCAAGTTACATCTTCTGATACTTACCTCCCGATGTTGTTCAAACCCCGTCGGTAATATCAAGCATCGCATTAAAATGTTAGGCTTTTTAGCTGGCTAAAAACACGATCACGAATTTTTATTCTTTATTAAATCCTCGTCCATATAATTATGAAATCCAAATACATCTTCCAAAATATAAAATGTATATAGTAAACGTCAATAAACGTCAACTCTGTTATGTTCTAATAAAGAAAAATTAGTTGTAAATGTAATAATAACAACTTTCTTTTACTAATTGATGGTCGTAGATTATAAATTCAATGGAATCGTTTAAACAATGACTTTCTAAAGAAAGAAAGAAAGAAAGAAAAAAGAACTAAAAAGAAAGAAAAAAAAAGATCGATAGAGAAACAAAAGAAATATAATTCTAATGTAGAGATGTATTATTTATAGAAATAATATATATATTTTGTTCCTGATACTGTATTCATATCATTTTCGCGGTTAGTTATGATCCATGTTGGATGATACTCTACGACTATAATAAGATTAATAATATAGATGACAATCATAATAATTATAATATTACGGGCCGATATAATATTAATTACGATAATAATATCTTGATTTGTGATTTCTATAGCACAACTGTAGAAAAATTCGGTTAGTACCAGCAGAGAATATTTATGTTTGTAAAATGGTAATAACGATGATCGTAACAAGGATTATCAAAATATAGTAAAAATCATAACAATAACAACAAGGCAACGATATTGTTGCAACACGTAAATGCCGCGCAACTCGTACAAATTTAGTTTCATACGAGATAATAAATTCATTTCTTTTCTTTCTATTCTCAGCTCGAATCTTAATTAACTTTGAAATTGGACCAAACGACCAAGATCAAAGAGAGTTCATGAGAAAAGATATATTCTATTATTTACATTTCTATCTTTTAATAAACGTTGGTTCGATCAAATTCGTTTGGATTTAAAAGGAAACAGAAGAAGATGACATGATGATGATGATGATGATGATGATGATGATGATGATGATGACGATGATAATAATGACAATGACGTTGACGATAACGATGATGACGATGATGATGATAATAATGATGATGATGATAATGATGATGATAATGTAAAAAATCATTTGTAGAATTGTAACAAGTATACTAATAATTATAATTCGTGAAAGCATTGGCACGCAACGATTTCTAATCTGCACTCGTCAATATGCTATATATATATTGATATTATTAACAATTAAAATTTTAAGCAGGCAGAGATAATGGAATAAACTTATTATAAATCAATAAATCAAAGATAATAATTAAATGATCGTCACAACATGAAATCGATCTATAAATTTGGATTAATGAATTGAAAAGAAATTTAGTAATAGTAAATTCAATATTTTAGAATAATGTTAAAACTCTCTTCAAATATGTACGATCCTTTAGACGTTATATATAAATAATTATATAAAATTAAAGGAAGTACACACTTGAATACTCTGCTTGCGGGTAATATCCGGTATTACGAAATCTATCTTTATATCATTGTATAGCATTCTGAAATGCTTATTAATATTATTATATACGAATTCTATAATTAGAAATCTCTTGTTCGTATGTAAAATACATTTATTCCCTTCCGCTTATATTATCTATATCTAATCAATTCCAGAACATACTGAAAACAAAATTAGTAATTAACTCTCACGTAGCTATTAACGAGCCTGTAGAGAAGTTCTATATATTATGGCCTTTGAATCACTTATATACATATCGTATTAATTGTGTGATACTCATTATCAAATAAAAAATCAAAAATAAAATAAAAAAAAGAAGTCTTAAAAGGATAGATCAAACACATATCACATAGTAAAGTAAATTAAATTAAATTCTCAGGATGTTGTTCGTTCTTGTAGAAACGTTAGAAAGGATTTGATAATCGTCATTAAAAAAAAAAAAAAAAAAAAATTATATACAAAATCCTAAAGAAACAACATCGAGCATTGATTTTTAATTTAAAAAAAAAAAAAGAAATCACTGATGAAATTTATGATTTTTTTTCTCTTTTTTTGAGGATTCCATCGGATTATCGGATTATCGGATTATATATTAAATAACAGCTAGATATTCGAGCCCTTACTTTTTCATTCTAGCAGTTCTGGAATTTCTCAAAGGGACCGTGTTTAATCTTAAACGAGATTCCTATCCATCGGTCCTTCATGTAAGGTGGTATCCATCTGAAGTAGACCTGGACCAGTACAAACAACATCGTATTCGAGCTGATCAAAGGATATTATGCCGGTTGAAGGCGAAACCATACTTCCACCACTCAATGAACCAACTAGATGTTTCCTAGTACTTGGACTTAGACGATCTAAAGATATGTTGCTCAGTCCATCCGGACATTGTGGGACCATTTGGTTGTCCAAATTGACGCTAAGCGGAGAAGTTAAATTTTTGTTTCCTAATGTTGGCACGTTACGAGAGTTCGTGACAGTATCCTGAAACATAAAAATATCGATATAACACAAAAAATCAAAAGAATAAATCACAAAATGGGACAAAAGAAAAAAAAAATGTATCGAATTTTTATTAATCCTCTCGCTTAAATTTGTCATTTGAATTTTAAATTCAAAATTATTACGAACTTTTCTAACAAAATAATTTCACGTTGAATATATGAAGAGATCTGTACACAAACAATTATTATAATTATTATTCGCTAATTCATTTAAATTGTGAAAGAAAATTATTTCATTTTTATTTATTTTTGTCCTTTTTTTTCACATTTCTGCTGCGTTTCGTAATGATGATAATGATAATGATGATATGGGAAAACGCGATACTTAATAGGCAATAACTTGACAGACAATATGTTCTTTCATCGATAACTTTTTTATGAAGCTTCTTCAATGTTGCTGCTCTTTAAAAATGATTAAATTCCATATATAACTTTCGTATCTCAGCTCATAATTTTTAGCTCATAAATCATATTGAAACGACGGAGTATAAATTAACAGGTGTAAAGTCGAAATGATTACGACAATTGTAACATACTAACACTTTAAAATGTCGACATTTTAAATGCGACTCGAAAAAATTAGAATTCTATCATAAATTATCAAAATATTTCATAAATTAAATTTCACGAATTATTCAAATGTCCATTTTATTGTGTCCAAATTAACGAAAATAAATCATATAGAAAAGAACGAAAAAAAAGGAAAAAAAAAAGGAAAAAAAAGGAAAAAAAAAAAAAAATACGAACCGAAAGAAAGCACGAATTCGATAAATTTCATATATTATATAATACACCTCCGTGTATCTTCGAAACATCGAAAAAATATGGACAACTCATTTTCGTTTCGTTACAGAGCAAAAGAAAAGAGAACAAAATTCATCTTTGTTTTCCTTTTTTCTTCTTTTTTTATTATTATTTTAATTTTTTTTTTTTTTTTTTTCTTTTACGGGAAGAAAAAAAAGTAAAAACCAAAACCAATGAAACGTTTTCTGGAATATGGAAGGATGCAAGAGGAGGAAACGGAACGCAGCAGATCAAGCGATTTCGATGTTCAATGTTCAATGTATTTCGATAATATTTGATCAACAACTTCATATACTTTGTATTTGTGTGTACATAACGTGGCATTAAAGAATCACGATTAGATCGATTCTACAAATCTCCATTATTTTTTCTCGTGCATATCTGTAGTCAGTGACGCAATCGTCATCTAAAAATTTGTTTGCCTCTCGCGAGACTTATTCCTACATCTTTTCTATTATTTATTGTTTTTTTTTCTCTGATATGCGCACAGATCTCTACCATATAAGAACAACAAAAACAAGGTCGCGTCTAAACCACTTTATATTGTCTAATCTCTCACGCATACACTCTACTTCTTTCTCTCCTCATCTCTTTCACCACATATCTCTTTATATAGTCACATATTATATGAATTGGATGAGAATCGAACGAGCACGGAGATCTACGAGCCGAAGATCTCGACATCTATATAATTGATCGAGCACAAACGAATAATAATCCAATGTCGAATAACGAGGAGGACTAGTCAAGTAGTAGTCTGTGTCCTTATTTTTTCGTCTCATTACTTCAAGAAAATAAGAAAGGAAAGAAGAAATTTTTTTTTCTTAAATACAAGAAGAGAGACTTTAAAAGGACATATAATTCGCGTAATAAAGAACGAGCCCATCTCGCTCACGTGCTCGCGATACTCTTCGAAGGTTTTGGTTTGACCAAGCAAACGTAACCCGCACTCACGTCGCAGCCAGACACCAGAAGATTCATGAGCACGCTGTTATAAGGAGGATTCCTGCGAGAATTGGTTGAACTTTGTACTGTTGTCGTATTGTCTAAGATCTCTCGAGCTAGACATCTTCTTTTCTGATCACCTCCCCCTCCACTATCCCCCTCAGCCTCGTCCTCGTCATCGTCCTTGATAGCTTTATTGTTGTTGCTATTGTTGTGGTTATTATTCTCATTGATGTTACGTATACGTTGTTCTTCCTCGCAAGTTCTACGACGATTATTCTTTTCAAGGCCGTTGCAACTAGACTCGACGTTTGTTCGATTATTACGTGAAAATGTCTGTTGTGAGACAAGTCGACGAAGAAGTTGACTCCCTGAAAGATTATTCGATCTTCGTGATTTTCCTTGATCGTCGAATATCAAACGCTGATTCTCAAGTGACTTGCTCAACTCGAGGGAAAGCGAATCCTCGCATTTGATACGTTTGTTCCCTTGTTCTAACTCATTTGATTGCATATGAAGGCGTTTACTTGCTCTATCATTACGATCGTTTATTTTCGTCGGCCAACGATTCTGTTCATTGAAGAGATCTGCAAGGGAAAAAATTGATAATTAATTTCTTAATTTGCTTTTATATTTTTCTTCAATAGAATCCTCAGAGATCTTGACTCTTACTTTTCCTAGGTATTTGACCTAGCACCTGTACCGGATTAACCAAACCTCCTCCATGATCGTTGTATCTGCGAGCAACAGCTTGATCAGTTCTAAGCAATTGTGCTAAACTGGAATCAACGTCCCGTTGATCTCGATCCTCGACTAGCCTGTAGGAAGAACATATGATCATCCTAACCATCTTCAAAATTTAGAAAAAAAAAAAGACAAAAAAAAATAAACACCATTTGGATGATTTCTCAACGGACTGTGATGCACCCCACATGACCATGTCGTTGCTTATCAAAAGATCCAATGCCTCATCTTGATCAGACATAGGTATATACGGAGCTCTAAGAGCCAGTTCATCGTCCACTGTACTATCACTTATACCAAGCATCAACATCTCGTCTTCCGAGAATCCTTCTCCACCACTACCTCCTGTAGGACTACCAAGAGAATCAACACTTCGCTCAGGGCTCTAAAAACAAAGTCAATCATTTTTATTGTAACAATAAATAAATAAAACAACAACAATAAATCATTGTGTAGTACATCTCGACGATGTACTTGCCTGGCGATATTTTGAAAGTGAAGGTGATACTGAATTTGGATCGATACTGCATGGACTGGCCGGTGAATCACCATACATAAAAGGATCGCTATCAGCTAAAGAATCCCCAAGACATTTGTTCCTCGTACTATCAACAAGATCAGTGTCCTTTAGAGTTTCACCAAGATCCGTGCCACGCAATTCGGACGACAATGGAACGCCGGGACTCAATAAAGGATAATAATTATCATTGCTAAGAATGAATTCATCCAACATGTCTGACAAGAAGGGTGTATCTTCGAGTGGTACACAAACATCGCCAGGAGTTGGGGCGAGATGTGTTAAGTCCTCCGGCTCGTCCTTTAGCACTGAAAAATTTCATAGATCATACGTGTCATCGTTCTTATCTAACTCCAATCTCTTTCCTCTCGTTTTTCCTTTAGATATAAATATCTTTACTTTTAGGGAGTCAGATCACCAAATTTCTCTATGTTCCAAAGCGATTGGTTATCTTATCTTTTCGTAGGATATTCTCGCGTGACTTTACTCTTATCAGTCTAGTAATCTATCGATCCACAATTTTCTACTCAATTCACAACTTTTTTTTTCTCCATCTCTTAGCACGTTAGCACGTTTTTTGTGTACTTTCTTTTATCCTATCATATAAAAAAAAAAAAAAGAAGAGGAAAGAGCGAAGATGAGAACCGTGACAATAAAAGATACCCACTGGTAAGACCTGGCTGATCCTCGCTGAAAGTCAAAAAACCCTTGTTCATGTCCTCGGTACGAGGCGCGAATATACTCGCGGTTGCCGTTTGAGGTGGCGGCCTGCAAGACACTTGCTGTTGTAGTTCTTGCTGTTGCTGATTAGTAGTCGATGAAAGAGGAGCAAAGAGTTGTCTAGTGACCGCCAGCGGACGATCACGACGTATAGTGGCGTCGAAATCGTATTCCAATGCAGGTTTACCCTAAAAAACGTGAATCAGTATGTTTTAAGTACTCCCCGAAACGAAAAAAAATTCTCTTTTTTTCTCTCTTTCTCTCATTCACTCACTCTCACTCTCTTTCTCTCTCTCTCTCTCTCTCTCTCTCTCTCTCTCTCTCTCTCTCTCTCTCTCTCTCTCTCTCTCTCTCTCTCTCTCTCTCTCTCTCTCTCTCTCTCTCTCTCTCTCTCTCTCTCTCTCTCTCTCTCTCTCTCCTTCTTTTATTGTTAGCTACCTGGAAGATAAATTCTGTACGTCCAGATTGTCGGCGTTTCTTTGGTTGATCGTTCTCCTTGAGTGGAACTTCTTCGGGATTTGTTTTCGGAGCTAACACAGGGAAAGATGATTTTCCAGAAACTATTGGCTTTTTTGAATTTCCTTCGTAAAGTTTATCACTTTCTTTCTTCGTCTCCTGATTCGATACAGATGCAGCTGATCGGAATATCGAAGCTGTTACCGCTTGCGGTCTGTCGTTACGATTTTGTTCTTGTAACGGCACAATCGTAGAAACAACGTTCTCAACGTTCTCAACGTTCTGTAATATCTCTGATTTCGGTGAAACTTCCAGAGTTGTCGACTCCAATGGCGGTGTCTCGACAATGACGACTTTCTGTAGAGGCTCCGATTTCACCGTCTTCTCGGAGTCACGAGCAACGAGCTGGCGCACACTATAGACCTCATCCTCGCACTCGACTCCGCTGAAATCAGAATTACCAATCCACGTTCCGATGCTGACCTTATGTTCCTCTTAAGATCGGAGGATACCGATATCTCATGATATCGTATCGCATTTGCCAAGGAATATGATTTTTTTTTCTAGTTTTCAAAAATCGAAGGAAATTAGCATAGTGGAAAAGATATTTTATCTTAAATTTTTTCAAATCGCGAAATCTTTTCTTTTTTAAGATGTACGAAGAAATGTACGTTGAAATTTTTTTCATCATCTTGAAAAAAAATACATGGAAAATATTAAACAACTTTTACTAATCATTTTATCGAATTATATTAGAAAAAAGATCAACTTCAAAGATAATAGTTATATAAACATGCCAATAATAGTTAATGAAATCTAAAATGTTAAGATGCTTTAAGAATTTTTCAATCTAATTACCATACTACAATGTATCTTTTTTTTTATCTGTAAATTTATTTATTTTGTTTATCTCTCTTTCTCTCCTTCTTTCTCAGAACTTCAAAACACCTTCTACGCCAATCGAAAATAGAATTCAAAAGAGACTCGGTTCAGGTATGTACTAGTGCGCACACCCAACCCGCGGTAGCAATTTTCTAATAAAAGAACCCATCAGTGTGTAACATCAACTTGACGTAAGAGGAAAAGATCAGTTCGGTGATTTAGATAGTCTACGCGAAGTTAAAGCATATATAGAAAAAGACAGACAGAGAGGGGGGGGGGGAAGATATCGTACGATGCACTCATCATCATTTCCATATTAAGATTTTAAAATTTTATTTTTCTTTTTTTTTCGAAATAGTTATTCTTCGATTGAATATGTACTAATCAATTATATTAATCTCTGTCTTTTCCTTTATTGCTTGTATATGTATGTACTATGGCCCCTAGAGGTTTTGATCTGATCTCAAAAATGAGAAATATTATTTACTAGATCATAGGAAAGAAACTGCAATAAACGTGACGACGTGTGATCGTCAAAAGAAAGAGAATGTGATAGAGAGAATCTTATCACATAATAAATTCTTACATTTATTAGGTCATTAAGAAAATTTATAGCTAGACTAATATTTTTGTAACGATATTTATATAATTACATATTTATTAAATCTTACAGAAAAAAAAAAAAATAAATAAATACGTAAATAAAACAAGAAAATAATAAATTCTGTGTTTTTCATTTTCTCCCTTTTTTTTATTTTTTTGGATATTTGTTTGTCAAAAACGAAAACGAAAAATAAAAAACATTTCGTAACGAAGATCCATTGAAAGCGTAAGAAGCACGCGTATCTGGTAGGCGATCGGCCTTAATTCAATCCGGATTGCGAGGCGAATGCCGTACGATTTGAAATAGCACGAGCGGGGTTATCGAGGAGGGTCGAGGCCTCAACTTTAAGGCCGTCGTGGCTTCGATTGATCGACGTTACTGATCTCTGACGTATACATATGCACGTACATACAAACGTACATACAAACATACATACATACATACATACATACATATATACATACATACATACATACATACATACATACATACATACATACATACATACATACATACATACATACATACATACACACATACATACATACATACATACATACATATATACATATATACATACATACATACATACATACATACATATATATAAATAAAATCAAGCGTTGGATTTATGCCTTGCGAAATGTATATAGTATTGAGTATTCGATTCGATATTATTTTATCTATCATCTATTATCCCGAAAACAAAAATCAACAAGAAAAATGATTGAATTTTTAAAGATTTCGGATTCGCGTGTTTTTTTGAAATTCTTCATTTTTATTATATAAATAAGAAACTAGAAATAGAAAGAGAAAGGAAATAGAAGAAACAGAGAGAAAAAGAGAGAGAGAGAGAGAGAGAATGTATAGCAAAGAACTTTGCTAAGATTCGATCGTCAAAGTTCGCCAAACGCCAAGCGTATCGTAGCGTTTACGGAGCGAACGCTAACTGCCTGTAACCAGTCACAACGGCTCGGTAATAGCCTTAAATTAACCAGCGGGGCCCCAAATGTGTGCGCGTACGTGTGAAACGACGCATGCAAAAATCACGTATGCGCATGTACGTAAGTAGTATGTATGTATGTATGTATGTATGTATGTATGTATGTATGTATGTATGTATGTACGTACTATACTTTTATACTATATACCGTGGCATTGTGCGAGTGCCCTCGTAATATATTATATGTCCACGTTGTATACTTGTTCCGGACGTTAGACAGCCTCCCGTTGCGTGTCTCTAGCGAAAACGTTCATGATTACGAGTCATCTTTATCAAATAGAAAAAGAGAAGAGGGAGAAAGAGAAAATTCTAATGCGTTTGAAATCATTCCTTTTTAGACTATTTGCATTTTCTTTGCGAATATGTGCATCTCACACATGCACACACATATATATATATATTTTTTTTCTTTCTTTCTTTCTGTCTTTCTTTTTAAATATATTTTCAACTAAATATTAATTAAAATTTAATTTAAATTTATGTTTGTTGTATATAGAGAAAAAAAAAAAAAAAAAAAGAAAATTAAAAGAGACTTGCTATATTCGCTCGAGAAGTTGGAAAACATCCTCTCTTAAAGATAGCCAGTCAATATTTTTCTTTTCTAATCGCGTCTACGAACTTATCGGTTATTTCAAAAAGTTCTCAAAATAGAAAGGAATAAATAATTCTATTTAAAAACATATAAGAAAATCTTATTTGCAAATATCTAAGCTTTCTCTAACTTCAAACGAACACTTGATTCTTCATATTTTATATCAATGGCTACAAACATGATCGATCAATCGCATAACGACATGTAATACGACGAATAATTAGTCTCACATAATCCGAAAACGATAATCATCGATAAAAGACCGACTTACTATTCTACCATCGTTCAACATGTACGTATACTAGTATGTATTGTACACACACACACGCACACGCACACGCGCGCGTATACGCACGCACATGCACATGTGTCCATAGATCGTATTATCGATACGCCGTAACTGTTTCGATAATAATCAATGAACTAATAAAATCTCATCGACGATACATATTTATGATACGCATTTCGCTTTGTAAAAAAACAGATTATCATATACGATTTCAAAATTTTCCTCTTTTATCGTCTTTTATTTAATTTAATTTAATTATTATTATTATTATCATCATTTAACCAATCTTCAAATTAACGAACGGTTTCTCTTTAATTTATATCATTTATATCATTTTATGTCCATTTAATTTCTCAGTAATTTCGTTTGAATTTAATGTACATTTAAACTAGCATTTACAAAAAAGAAAATGATTCAGACGTTCTTGATCCTGACGTTAAAGGGTTACGCTAACTTGTCATTCCGTATTTGCTTATTAGCATTCTCGCTTTCGCAAGAATGTCTTCTTCCTAATGAATCGACTTAAGAACGTCATCAAACCACGAACCTCTCATTCCTCTAACAATTTTTATATTCCCCGTTTTTCTTTTTTTTTCTTTTTCTCTCTTTGTTTCTTCTTCTTCTTCTTTTTAAAACAATCGACAATATTACTACTGATCAAGAGAATTCTCGTGTACATATTACCTTTTAAGGAGCGATTTAATCGAATGACATTTGTGTTTGTTCGTTCGTGCATATATTATTCGGAAGTTTTCATTTCAATTTGAATTCATTTACAAACTTATTTTATAATTACAAATAATTATTTCGATGTGAAGAATCTTGGCAGTTTTCAAGTTGGGAAGGAAGGAGGGAGGGAAGAGTGGAAAAAATGGAAAGAATGGAAAGAATGGGAAAAAAGAAGGAAAAAAAATTTATAACGATAAATTCATTTAAATTTACGAATAAGAAAAGATTTGCGAAGGAATATGATAAAAACTTGTTTTATGAAAGATGGACGACGATGAACGGAAATAAAAAAAAAAGAAAAAAAAAACAGAGAAATAACAAAAAAAAGAATAAATAACACAAAAAGCTAGTAGAAATCATACTTTACAGTTTACTGTTATATCTATTCAAAAAAAAAAAGAAGAAAAAAAAATATGTAAAAAAAACCTACGACTTCGAGGTCATACGAAATGTTACTGTGATGAAAAATTCTCACGTCGATGAAAGGAAGAGAGGAGATTCAAGAAGGCAAAAGTCTCTCGAGAATCTTTCTCTTTCTCTCTCGTGTTGGTATTAGATTCGCTAGCGTTAGGTGTAGGATAAATATGCGGCCGGTATTGGTAAAAATAGAGTGACGGCCGAGTTACTTGTGCAATCAAGCACGTGGGATCTACCCTCTCCTCGACATCTTTTAAACCCTCCAATAGTACTACATGTTCTTTTCTTTTCTTTTTTCCTTTGCCCTCGAACGTCAATTTTGGGATCCACGTAGGTCGTTGAACTCTTTATGAAACTATCAAATGTCTTAAATCTTTCAAAATGATCTTTTAAATGAAATTTAAAAAATATGAAAATAATGATTAAAACATATGAAAAATATGAAAATATGAAAATATGAAAATATGAAAAATCGTTTGCCGACTAAATTAAGTCAATAATAATATAAAATATATATAACGATCCTATGATACTACTTTACGATACGATATTTTTTTCACTTCGATTAGTTTTTTGTTTTGTAAACAAAATAAAATTTGTTTTGTAAACAATTTCAACAAGGATTTGATATAAATAACAACGTAATAATTATGGAAAGATTCTTGCTGAAAAAGTATGAGAACGTGGGAGTTAGCTCGTAAATATTACGTCTACAAGACGGAAGCTATCATTCCTTGGCAAAGAATTGACTTACGCGATATGTACATTGTACACTAACGATATCATCGTTTACAAAGAAGCAAGACTACTTTCGTCGCACGTGCAAAAACTTCGTGACTGAAACTATGTCACCGTGATAAATCTAATGACCTATCGATAGTAATCGACCGGTCTATTTGTAATAATCAACATAGACTAACTTCATGAAC